AGTGAATCAAAGGGACGATAAAACAAGTCACGCTTTCCATATCAAACTCAACAGTAATCCTAATCCTTTTTGTGTTTTTAGGCATTTAATTACTTGAGACTGGCCTCTGGTCATAATAATCTTTACTTTTTTATTAATAATTGAAGCCCTGTTTTTTAAGCACTTTAAACTTCTTATCTCAAAATTACTAAAAAACAAAAGAGAACTTTCTTCGACCCTTTGAGCCGAATGTAATGAAATCTTGTTTACAAAAAAAAGAGTTGATAGACATTGAAATGATACATTTCAATTGCAATCAATGTACAATATCAGAAAATAGTCGATGAGATCGATTTCAGGAAAAGGCCATTTGATCACCAGTTTGGGTTAACTTGATGTTGATCAAACACGGAATGATGAAAAGTAACAAAACCAACAAATTTGAATTATTTATAATCCAGATAAATAAAGTCACTAAAAAATAATTGTAGGTAATAGCAAAAAATCAATACTATTTTCAATTTTGGGATCAAATACTTGAGGTGATGTTACTTTTCAACTTGGAAGCCATTTTTATATTGCTCTTGACCAAAACCAAAGCAAAATATACTTAACTTTGTTTCGTTTACAAAAGCTTGCAAAGAAAAGAATCTTGAAATTTTTTAATTTCGATTCAATTTTCAATGTTAATGGAATCCTTATTTCGCGTTCATTCAACTGTACTTTTTGATCAAAGTTGACTTGATACTCAATAAGAGTAAAACGAATCATTAGATCAAGATGAGTAAATTATAAGTGCCAGGGTTAACGAGAGCCCGTTAACTCACTTTTTAATGTTCAGTCTCAGCTAACCTTAAGTTCACCGTTTTTCAGGATTTCTTGCGTATTCACATATCGCAAGTTTCTGTGAATTAAATATGCTTTCTTCTTTTGTCTTTATTTACAAATTGTGAATTTTGTCTAAGTTGTGTGAAAAAAGTTCGGGAATATTCAAAGAATCTTCATTTTTTCTTCGGAAATGAATTAAGGAAGTTTTTAGATAAGTGCTAATAATTCAATTCAAGATCTTGTGAAAACTCGAGATTATTTTTGCGACTCAAAAAAATTGAATGTGATGCATTTCTTTACTAACCAGAGCCTGACTAGCTTCCTCTTATTGGTTGATTAAGAAAAATCTTTGGATTGGCGATTTTTAAACTTTAATTTGTAACAATGGAAACCAATGAAGCCGAAATCGTACCGAACTGAAAATTTTATATTTGACTGCTTCACGTTCAAGTTAGTCCCCAACTTTTTGTCAACAGGTTATTTAAATTTCTAAAAGTGTTGACAGGGAAATACTCGGGTTGATTACATTTTTTATTTTTCTAAAATGTATGACACAAAAGAAAAGAACAGAGCAGATTTATCATGATCTAAAGACCAAGGAAGTAAATAATGACTACGGAGGAATACAAATGTAACGGCAAGCAAAAAAGAGACGATTCCACAAATAATCGAGAATACAAGCCATGTTTGCTTGTTCATCAAAATAGAATGTAAAGGGGACTCGAATGATATCAGAGAAATCAATTTTGAGATCAGCAGTGTATATATCTGTATCATCCAATGCGTCTGGTGTTAAAGATTTGAGCCAAAAATAGCGTTTAAGGCAGCCGAGAACAGCAAGAGTTGACAAGACCAGTACTGCAAATATTGAAAACCAAACCATTGGACCGGCTATGATTTGGAGCAGGAGAATCCAAATGAATGAGATAACCATAGCAATAGAAAGTGCTCTAAGTAAATGCATAATTAAAACAAAATTAGATATTAAGCTTAACAAAAGTTATTTTGAATGAAAAGCTGACAAAATCTTACATTAAAATGTTTCCAAAAAAGTCCTAAATCTTCAACTGTATTATTATACTTAAATGATCTAATAGCATATAGAACAATCTCAAAGGCCTTTGAATCACCCAAATTAACATTAAGAGTTAGTTTGATTAAGACTCAGGCATAAAAACCATGTGTAAAATAAATCCGAATTGAAACTCAGATACCAATCTCAAACTTATATTCAGGTATCTTTTCACCAAATATTCGGAAGATTCCGTTGCCTGTTTTTTGTTTCGTTTTTTAGTAATTTCACGATAAGAAGTTTAAAGTGCTTAAAAAACGAGCTTCAATTTTTAATTATTAATAAAAAAGTAAGGATGATTATGACCAGAGGCCAGTCTAAAAAACACAAAAAAGGATTAGGATTACTGTTGAGGTTTGATAATGGAAAAGGCGTTGACTTTTTTTATTCGTCCATTTGATTCAACTTCGACCTGAGGGTGAGGGGCGGTATAAAAGGGCCGAGTTTCGAAAGAAGACTTCATTTAACGTCAAGACTTTCACTGTTTCATTCCTTCAATCATTTAAATTATATTTTGTTCAAGTGTCATCATCATCATGTCCTCATCAACAGTACAACAAAGGCGAAGAAAGCCGAGGGTTGTGTATAGTGCTGAAGAAGTAAATATTTTAGAAAGTGAATATTTTCATTGTAAAGATCCAGATAATAATGAAAGACTTAGAATCGCCAATGATTTGGGAAAAGATGCTGAAGAGATAAAGACTTGGTTTAAGAACCGCCGTTCAAGAGGTACACCAGCAAAAAAATCTTCAATTGTGTCTCCAAAGTGTAATCAAGTTCAAAACATAATGATCTCACGTGAAAAATATGATGTGCCAAATGGAAACGAGATGCATGTTAGTCTTAATGTGCTTGGTAAAAATAAACGAGGCCGAAAAGAGCGATATGTTTTCAGTAAAGAACAAGTACAAGGTTTAGAAGAAGCTTTCCGTCAACATCCAAATCCAGAACACTGGCAGAAAGATGAAATTGCTGTAAAATGGAATTTGACTCGTGCAATTGTCACAAATTGGTTTAAAAATCGTCGAACCAAAGCCAAGAAGACTTACGGAAAGGAAAATTCAGTTCCCCCACCGCCACCACCACCTCCACCTCAACCAACAATTACCTATCAACCTCTGATATCATTTGATCAATATCCACCAGTGGCTTATCAACAACCACCACCGCCAACTCAACCTCCAATTGCCTATCAACCAGTGATATCAATGGATCCACAACCTCCAAAAATACCGGAACCTCCAACATCAACGTATCAACCATCACTGCCACTATCACCACCAATGGAATCAAATGATGAACAATCAATTTCCTTTGAATCACTATTTTTTTATCAACCTCTAATGCCAATTCAACAAGAATTAATGGAACCTGATATCCCAATAGAACCCGAAGCTTCTTTAACATTCACTTCTCCTTTCGAGGACTTTACCACTAGTTTTCTTGATTATATCAATAATTATAACGATGTATAATAAAATACTTTCAATAAATTATATTTCATTTTAAACTTAATCTTTCACTTCATTTACGCGATACTTTTGAATTCTTTATATCCTCTTATTATGCAGACCTTGATCATTGCGGTGTTTAATGTAAAACCAAGCTTTCCAATCATAAGTAAGTAATCAGCAACCTTGTCTAAACGGCAACTCTGAAAAAGAGAAACACTCGATTGAAAATTGTATGAACAGAAAATTGTCACAAATAATTGATTTACCTGACAACATTCCTAAGTAACAAGAAGAATGCTTCTTTAGCAGCAGGCAGAAAAGATTGTCCATGAACAGCTATCATAATATAAGCATTGGTATTCAAAAAACGCATGAACTTTTCCAGCATCCAGAAACAGCAACGACAGGTCCTTTAAATCAGAAATCGAAAAATTACAAATTTGAACAAAACAGCTACAAACTACTCTCACTTACCACATAATCGCTTTGGCAAAAGCATTATCAGTGTACATTTTACACTTCTCGTAAACAGTTTCAATATCGAATCTAATCACCCTGAATATGGCTAACAAGGGAAGGTTCTCAGATCGTAAAGTGAGATTTTTTTCAAATTTATCATTCATCATTAGTATAATATTATAATATAATGCATATGGATATTAGAAATACAAAATGATTGAAATTTTTTGTACAGTAGGAACATATGATGAAACAAGTTCATAACATAAATTTTATTTTGTTTTTGAAAAAACTATTGAGTTGCGAATCAAATGTTCGGGTATGCTTGTTATTTCAGCTATAATCTATGAATTTACCAAGTTTGTAAAAAATCTGACTTTGCGATTTGCGAACCTTCCCTTGTAAGATTAACGATTCAAAAGCTATTGACCAAGCATGATATCTGAATACCAATTAAGAATAATAAAATAAACATTGAAATTAGTTAATCAATTTATACATTAATGATCAAATTACTAGTTAACTACTCACCTAAAGGCTCGATGAGTGCTTGTCGCAACTGGAAATGAGGGAATTTCATCTGATTTATTGAAAGCCCAATAATAAGCGGCAAATGCTCCAGCAAGAATGAATTTAACTGCAAAGGAAAAGAGATAATGTTTTAAAGCTCTGTTTCAATGAAAGAAAGTTCATTTATCAAGTGACAGCAAGAGTAGACAAGACCAGTACTTTAAATATTGAGAAACGAACCATTATACCAACTAGGACTTGGAGTAAGAGTTCTCTGAAAAATGCTAATTAATATAAAATAGATATTAAGGTTAACAAAAGTCAATCTGAATGAAAATAATGACAAAATCTTTCATTAAAATATGTTTCCAAACAGGTCCTGAATTTTCAACTGTATTATACTTGAATGATCTAAGAGCTTATAGAATAATCGAAAGGGCATTTGTTTAACATTAAAAGTTAGATTGATGAAGACTAAGGCATAAGAAACAATGTGAAAAATCAATCCGAAGGATATCATCGAATCTCATGTTAATTTAGGTGTCTCTTTACCCAATATTCGGAAAATTCCGTTTCCTTTTTTTTGTTTTGTTTTTTAGTAATTTCGAGATAAGAAGTTTAAAGTGCTTAAAAACAGGGCTTCAATTATTAATAAAAAAGTAAAGATTATTATGACCAGAGGCCAGTCTCAAGTAATTAAAATGCCTAAAAAACACAAAAAAGGATTAGGATCACTGTTGAGTTTTGATAATGGAAAAGGCGTTGACCTTTTTTTTATTCGTCCATTTGATTCAACTTCGACCTGAGGGTGAGGGGCGGTATAAAAGGGCCGAGTTTCGAAAGGAGACTTCATTTAATGTCAAGACTTTCACTGTTTCTTTCCTTCATTCATTTAAATTATATTTTGTTCAAGTGTCATCATCATCATGTCCTCATCAACAGTACAACAAAGGCGACGAAAGCCAAGAGTTGTGTATACTAAACAAGAAGTGCATTTTTTAGAAAGTGAATATTTTCTTTGTAGAAATCCTGATTATCATGTTAGACTTAGAATCGCCCATGACTTGGGAAAAGATGCTGAAGAGATAAAGACTTGGTTCAAAAACCGTCGTTCTAAAGGTACACCAGTAAAATTATCATCTATTGTGTTACCAGAGTGCAACCAAGATCCTCAGTTGATGATCTCAAATGAACAAAGTGATGTACCAACTCTAGTGCCAACGGACTTAAAAACAATTTCAACTGACAATGAATTAGATTTTGCGTTAAGCATGGTTGGTATAGAAAAACGAATCCGAAGACAACGTTATACTTTCACCAAACAACAAATACAAGGACTTGAAGCCGAGTTCACTAAATGTCGAACTCCCAATCACACCACAAAAGACGAAATCGCTAAAAAATGGAAATTAACTCGTTCTATTGTTTCAAACTGGTTCAAAAATCGTAGAACCAAAGCCAAGAAGGAAGGCAGCAAAGAAAACTCGGCTCCACCACCACCGCCACCGTCAACAACACTGGGACCTGTAATATCGAGGGATCAACCACAACTGCCACCATCACCACCACTGGAATTTATTAATCAATCATCTATGTCTTTCCAACCACTAATTTTATATCAACCTCTAATGCCAATTCAACCAGCATTAATGGAATCTCTTATCCCAATAGAACTGCCAATGTCTCCAGCATCCTCTTCTTCCTCTTATGCAGACTTTTCTCATTGTCTAAGTGAAATCCTCAATAATTAATGTTTAACCAGCATCTGATAATAAATCTAATATTAATTCAGCAATAAATTTTATTAATTTGAAATCTTATCCATGTATCAACTATTCATTTCATTTATTTGACTTCACACTTCTCCTGAGTCTGCATCATTGATTCCTTTAAATCAATAATAATCGAAAGTAATCAAGCTGAAATAGCTGTTCCGAGGAAATATCGACATAATGAAGATGTTGCTTAGAAACTTGATTATAAATAACTCAAAGAAACAATTGATTTGACCTAACACATTATATTATTTGAGACAATATTTCATCAACTTTTCATGGTTTATTATGCTCAAGAAAATGGAATGGCAGATTGAAATTTTTGGCTGCAAACTGTTACGGTCAGTTTTTCAGTCAATGCAATCATACAAGTCATTAGTAATTTACATAATTAACTAAATTAGAAAAGAGTCACAACTCATATAGATTGATTAACAATTGTTTCTTTCTGTTTTCAATCCTGGACATGTTTCTTCATTTGCGAATGAGATGATGATTAAGTTAAAGATAATCATTGAATGGGAGAAATATTGTGCGCACAATTAATGGAATGAGCTTCGGGTGGGTTCAAAAAATAAACGAATCAGTTTGACAAACGTTTCAAAATTGGGAGGTGGGTTGATTACGATACTCTAAAATTTCCATGAGTTCTTCAGACATGAAATAAGGCTTTGAAGGTGAGCCATCATTACGTTCGCAGTCTTCGACTATACATGAAAAAGAATGAATAAAGATGTTCAGTAATTAACGAAAATCGCAACTTGAATAGTAAAAAACACTTACGGAAACATAGAAAAATAGTGTCAACTGCCATTTCATATACATCAAAGAAACAATCAGCAATGAAGTAGGTACCAATACAAACAGCCTAAGTAATGAAAAGATAAATTAATAGCAATTTCTAACAATTCCATAGAAAATAAATCAAACTTACGATCACAGGAACCCAAGTATAATTTATATCAGGAGGTGTGAAATAAGTGAGATCATAATCGTATCCTTTGGTAAAGTAAAAAAATGTTGCTAGACCCATAAATGCTGTGACCACAAGCTTTCCAATCAAAAGTAAGTAATCAGCAACCTTGTCTAAAACGGCAACTCTGGAAGAGAGAAACACCCAATGAAAATCGTATGAACAGAAAATTGTCATAAATAATTGATTTACCTGACAACATTCCTAAGTAACAAGAAGAATGCTTCTTTAGCAGCAGGCAGAAAAGATTGTCCATGAACAGCTATCATAATATAAGCATTGGTATTCAAAAAACGCATGAACTTTTCCAGCATCCAGAAACAGCAACGACAGGTCCTTTGAATAAGAAATCGAAAAATTAAAAATTTGAACAAAACAGCTACAAACTACTCTCACTTACCACATAATCGCTTTGGCAAAAGCATTATCAGTGTACATTTTACACTTCTCGTAAACATATTCAATAGCCACTCTAATCATCCTGAATATGGCTAAGATTAACGATCCAAAAGCGATTGACCCAGCATGATATCTGAATAGCAATTAAGAATAATAAAATAAACATTTGAATTAGCCAATCAATAAGTTAAACACATTAATGTTCAAACAATTAGTAAGCTATTCACCTAAAGGCTCGATAAGTGCTTGTCGCAACTGGAAATGAGGGAATTTCATCTGGTTTATTGTAAGCCCAATAATAAGCGGCAAATGCTCCAGCCAGGATAAATTTAACTGCAGAGGAAAAGAGATAATGTTTTAAAGCTCTGTTTCAATGAAAGAAAGTTCATTTATCGAGAAAGTATTTACCCATTCCATTGATGAAAAACAGAAGCCAAAAAGTCATAAAGAGATTGAAGAAGTGAGCAGAGTTGAGAATGGTATTGGAAAAAGGAATAAACTTTTCACATTTTGAGTCATCAGTACCATTATATGTCTGAAAAACGGCAATTTAAGAACATTATACAAAAGTAAATATGTTTTCCAAGTGAATTAAGATGAACAAAATTTACAAATTCATTAATTTAACTTACAAATGGGTCACATCTTATTCCTTTTTCTGAAGTGTGATTGGTACCGGAAATCCGGTACGTTGGCTTCTGAACTGCGGCTATCATGATGGCAACGAATATTCCGATGAGGATGACTAGAGTTTGTAAAATGTATGGCACAAAAGGAAGGAACAGAGCAGATTTAGCATGATCTAAAGCCCTAGGAAGTAAAGAAAAATATATTTAAAAACCTATTCAAAATCAAATCGTGTGTTTTGTTATATTACTTGCTGGCTTCCTTGATGAGTGAAATGGCAATATTAACTCGACTACGGAGGAATACAAATGTAACGGCGAGTAAAAAAGAGACGATTCCACAGAGAATCGCAAATACAAGCCAAGTCTTCTTGTTCATCAAAATAGAATGTAAATTTACTCGAATGATATCAGAGAAATCAATTTTGAGATCAGCAGTGTATATATCTGTATCATCCAATTCGTCTGGTGTTAAAGATTTGAGCCAAAAATAGCGTTTAAGGCAGCCGAGAACAGCAAGAGTTGACAAGACCAGTACTGCAAACATTGAAAACCAAACCATTGGACCGGCTATGATTTGGAGCAGGAGATCCAATGAATGAGATAACCATAGCAATAGCAAGTGCTCTAAGCAAACGTATAATTAAAATAAAATTAGATATTAAGCTTAACAAAAGTTATTCTGAATGAAGATGATGGCAAAATCTTACATTAAAATATGTTTCCAAACAAGTCCTAAATCTTCAACTGTATTATCCCAAATATCAGATAGATTGAGCATCTTGGAAAATCCCCTTGAAAAAAAGAAAAGATTATAATAAATAAATTGAATTGAAATCGGTTGAAATATCTTTTTCTTACTTGCCAGCTCTTGCAGCCATTGTTGCATTTATTGGCAGGCCATTTTCCCCAACCATGTTATCTCCATCGTCACCGATGATGGTTTTAGATTTATTTGAATAGGACAAAGCATCTGGAACACATCTACCAACAACTAAAGAATTTAATGTAGCACACAAAAAAAACAAAAGCAATGATAATTGATCTTTGAGGGTTATCAACCATGTTGTTACCATGGTCAATGCTCTATATACCTTGTTTACTCGTCTTGGACGGCAGTTTTAAGACTTTTTTCGGTAAGGATTGAGAAGCGGATAATGACGCAGTGGGATGGGACAGAATTGGATTTAAATAGGGTCGGGAGGAAATTGGAGACGATAAAGCAACAAGAAATGTGAGATGAGTTGTTTTCGCAACATTAAAACATTAGCAAAAGAGTTAGATAAAAAGATCGCATATTAATAGATAATACATATAATAAAACATTAATTCTAAATTTTAAAAGATAAAAATTTTTGAAGTATCATTCAAATCATAACAGATTGGTAAAAATGATTGAAATCAATTTTGAACAATCAAGGTTAGCAATAAATGATTTGAATTGCCTAAAATGGAAATATGATTAGCGAACTTCAGTACTTACATGGTTCACTTTTGAAGTAAATCCTACCACAGCGTTTTGTGCGCAAAAGATCGGGTATTTTATCCAAGGAAATCTCATTAATCTACGTGAAATTCAAAAATTTTAGTTATGTGAGCAATGAAAATATTTGAAAAACAGAAAAAGTAAAACCAACCTTAATTTCATAATCACAGATTAATTTTCGACGGACTATTTCTTGCTGTTGATTTGTCAAGGCATTCCAAAAGATTGGATCACGATACTTTACAAAGCTCTCGGTAAAGTCCGGACATTTTTTTACACACACCTAAGAAAGAAAGAAAGCTTTAGTTTTGCAATTCATCAAGTGGTTCGATTAAAAATCAATAAAGCAAAAAAATTCTTTGCGATAAATAAGATACCTGAGTTGTGTTGCAACCTTTGCTGAATGCGTTGATTTTTGCACATTGCAAAATGTCGAAGAAGTATAAAAAAGGCTTATCTCTGTTATTAATCGTCCAGAAGAGTGATGAATGAAATGAAAAAGAAAAAATTTTGAACATTGAAAATGATAAATTAATTAGATGAAACACAGTATAAACAGTTGAGCATTTATTAACTTACATTAATTCATCTCTACCACAGATTCGTCCAAAGCTATCACTTGGATAGATAACTCTTTCAGGGTCACCGAAACGTATAGCTGGAAAAACCAGATTAAAAACGAGCGAATAAAAAATAAATTAAGTTTTTAAAATCAAAATAGAGAAAGTTGCTTGAAATGTGTAAGCACATATTGCGCTGATAGTTTCTTTGTCTAAACATGAAACGCCATTTCTCTTGAAAAATGTAAAGCAAATATGGAGACAGTGTTGTTTACACATCAATGTTAATGTTCTCATTGTTACACCAACATTAACATAATTAACACCAACAAGATCAACTTACCCACACCAGCAAGAACAATCCAGGCTCCTACGAAAATGACGAATAGGTAAAGACAATAAAGATCAGTACAGCTTCGTGATTTAACAGGTCCACGAAAACTGGGATCATATTCAAAAGGTTCGGGCAGATCTGGATCAGTTTCTTCAGTCATAGTTCATTTAAAGATAAATGACTCAATAGTAGAATAGAAAACAAAAGGAAAATGTGAATAAGCACTATAAACACTTGCACTAAAAGCAAGAAACCCGTGAAGATGGAGGCACACTCTAACAGAAAAGATCAGTACAGCTAATATCCACTAATCCATTTATAGACCAAATTTGATATTACTGAATAAAGATTATTATTTCCATGATTTAAGCGCAGATTAAAGATTGGAAAGTAATGGAAAACAAGATAAAATAACTTCCGCTCACAGGAAAATAGAGAAAAAATTCAGTAGAATTTCAACTGAACCAAATGAAAGCTCTGAAACAAATTGTAAAGTTTGCTCTCTTAACTCACTCCAAAAGATTCGCTCTCTTTCTCTTGCTCTTGCTCTTTCTTTCTCATTTTGCATTTAACTCCATCTATTGATCAAATTATTCACCATCTGCTCATTGTTTATTTTTTAGTTTTTTTAGTTTATTTTATTATCTTTTCATTTACGTTAAACTCATTTGTTTAATTTGCTTACGGTGTACTTACAGTTAACTTTTATGTTCAACTTGTTTTTGTTTAAAATTGTATGCTAATGACTAAACTCTGTTTGTATATATTTTTAATGTTTTCACTATTTTCATTTGAGCTTAATTAGTGATTTTTTGTGATAAAATAATAGATTTAAAGATCGATCAATGACGTAACTGCTTATCAATTGCTCCTATCCAACCTCTCCTTTGGTTAAAGGATTCGTGATTCATTCCAATATTTATTCCCAACATCAAAAGGATAAAAACAATGATAACAATGTTTCAAGATATGATAGAAACGTTAAAGGTGTACTTGATGAAACATATTCCTGATTCGGTACCTCAATAGACACAAATGGTCATAGCCAGCAGTTCAATGGTCTGAAACCACTTGTAGCTCAATTTACAAAATAGTCAAAGTAAATTTGGTTTATAATGTACCAAGTTCAACAATACAGGTCAATCAAAAGATCTCAAGTGAGTATTAAGTAAAACCATAACAAGAGTATTTACAAAACACATGTTGATAACTTTTTCTTTTCTCTTTATGATTTATCTGTCACTATAGATGAGCAACATGAAACAACATTACTAATACAATTGCTGATTGAATTTAAACGTCTCTTCAATTGGATACACCCAATCAATTTGATGAACATTGATATCTCTTCGTTGTACAATCAAATCAATAAGCGAGACAGTTTCCAATCATTAAGGTAGGACCTGATCGACTAACGAGCAATATAAAGTGAAAAAAGTCTAACCTTTTAATAATAAATTGTTTATTATAGTTCAAAGGAGCAATATTCTGGAAACATGGAAAGAAGAGCCGAGTCATGGGAAATCCTTGAAACAATTTCATCATTAGAATGATATCTTTTGATCGATTTGTTTTACACTTTTATCCCAATATTAATTTTCTTCAAATGGAATCGAAAAGGATAATAACAATTATGACAAATGAACACCATTCCGATAAAGATAAAAATACAAAGTGCAATATTTGCATCGATACATGTGTAACCTTGATTCTCATGTTTTCAAACCGTTAACATTTTATTTAAATTTAGTCACGCAAGTGATTCAAATATCCAGATGAACGTTATATCTATTATTATAATTACTTCATTATGTTGTTATGCTTATAATCGAGATATTCATTTCATTGACAGTCAATTCGATAATGATTATCAGTGAATAATCAAGTTAAAAAAATTTAAAGTGAAATGTAAAACTGCAAAATTTATTGTTATTGATTGACAAAACCTTTCTATTGTTCAACAATTACAATGCTAATGTTACTTTTGAAATTTGTTCATCTGTTGAACATGAAGTGTAATTTTCTGGGCAAGTGAACAGTTAAGGCTTGAAATATAAATTTACAGATTCTGAGTCTATCCATTATTGACTCAACATTTGCTGAGAAACCTTTGAGGGAAAAATTGAAACAAAATCCATTGATTGGACACAATTTAATGTCATTTAATAATTTTAACAAAATAAATTTCATCAAAATAAGATTGGAAAACAAAAGAGAACTTTCTTCGACCCTTTGAGCCGAATGTAATGAAATCTTGTTTACAAAAAAAAAGAGTTGATAGACATTGAAATGATACATTTCAATTGCAATCAATGTACAATATCAGAAAATAGTCGATGAGATCGATTTCAGGAAAAGGCCATTTGATCAGCAGTTTGGGTTAACTTGATGTTGATCAAACACGGAATGGTAAAAAGTAACAAAACCAACAAATTTGAATTATTTATAATCCAGATAAATAAAGTCACTAAAAAATAATTGTAGGTAATAGCAAAAAATCAATACTATTTTCAATTTTTGGGATCAAATACTTGAGGTGATGTTACTTTTCAACTTGGAAGCCATTTTTATATTGCTTTTGACCGAAACCAAAGCAAAATATATTTAACTTTGTTTCGTTTAAAGCTTACAAAAAAAGATATAAAAATGGCCAAAATACTCTTGTGATTGAAAATCTCGAAATATAAACATTAGATAACAATCAAAATAATTACAATGGCAATATAAGTTTAACCATCAAATAACAATGATATGCTGATGGTGATTTAAATGATTTCAATCAAGGAACAACCAAAGTTGTTGTGCTTTGACCGATTGTATCCTTAACATAAGCTGGATTTGTTATTCCGTCCTTTACATCGTCACCTGCAATTGAAGGTGTTATATCAGCAGATCTTGATTTACGACGAGCTGCTTGTTCAACAATGAAAAATGTGATTGACCCGAGTATTGCTGTGCCAACCATTATATAAATTTGAATGTTCAATGTTATTTCACTGGTAAAGAAGAAAAATAACGAAGAAAATAATGATTGCACAAATTTGAATATGGCAAAAGCAGGCGCTGAATTTGATTCATAGAAGCTTCCGATTTGTGAATAAATTTGAGTGTTCATACAAGCATCTCCAAGTCCTAGGAGGAAACTACAGACCAAAGCCAATGGTAAACTGTAAATTAATGAGAAAATTGATTAGAGAGGTCAAAAATATATCAATAATTGAACAAGCTTTATGGGAATTAGAGGAAATAATTTTTTTCAAAGTCAATTGATCAATTACTCTAACTAAAAAATTTTTTTCATTTATCAAGTATACTTATGCTTATACGTAAAGATTGATTATATAAATAATAATGCTAAATAAATTATTATTGATGATACTAATCAATCTCTAGTGAAATAGACAAATGAAACAAAATTCAATCGATTCCCATAAAAATCTCGTTTTTGTATCATTGTATTGTTCGTGAGTTATACTTCAATGATTTAATACCTTGTAGGAATAATCGAAGATTCATCTGTGTCACCCAAATTGGCATTAAAGGGTAAATTGATGAAGACTCCAGCATAAGCGGCAATGTGTAAAATCAACCCAAAGAATACGATTGGATCTCGTCCTAATTTAGCCGTCTTTTTACCGAAAATTCCGAAGATTCCGCCACCAATTGTTTCCCCAATACCTAAAGTTAAAATTAAAATAGAACAATTAGAATCTGAAACATTATTTAACACAAGCAACTTCTTACCAATCAAACAACCAGCAACACCAACAAAGGTTTTCCTGTTTTCACCGATTGCTTTGGTGAATCCAATTGAGTTGACATAAACTCCAGTAATGAAGGATTGCGCTATCCCTGAATCAAAATAAGCAACAAAATTTCAACGTTAGTTCAAGGTTTTCACATCTTCTGGTCATTAATAATTGGAATAACATTCACTCAATTCGTTATTCACAAAATTATGAAAATTATGAAAATAAATGGAAAAGAATGTTGTTATTCTCGATTTAATAAACAGGTATTTACCTGTGTAAGCAAAAGTGAAAAACATCAAAACCATCGCTTTCGTTCTGAATAGAGTAAATGAATCGTCTGTAAAGAAAAATAAAAATAGCAATCAATAAACAACATCTTAAGTAGCAATTTAACCTGTTCAGGTACATGGTTCGTAAACACAAAACAGAGACTTCAAAATGTTATTAATTCAGAAATATTGTTTGATTTAAGAGGCAATTTCAGTTATTTTTAACTTTGCTTCAAACTTACAAAGAGCTTGAACAGGGCCAACAGGCTTCTCATTAGTCTCAGATGCTGGATAGCTTCTCAACATGAACATTAAAATGGTTCCAGCGATTCCAGCTCCTAAGAGGCCAGAATAAGTCGTTTGACGAGTTTTTTCATCGATAATGTCAATCCCTTTAAATTGGAATGAAACGAAAATGTTTCCAAAGATAAGACTTCCTTGAAAAAGAGCCCAAAACACGCCACTATTACGACCAATGGTGCTTTGATTGCTGTTTAATGTTAACAGGTTTCCTTGAGCAGTCCATATAACTAAACAATTAAAAATAAACAATTAGTGAACCTTTGATTGTGAAAATTGAAGATGACTTACCGGCTGCTCCAAGACCAAGAACAGCAGAAGCTGCAGACAATGTCCACCAAAGTGGATACAAAAAGGAACCAATGTATAGACTGTGAAAAAGATAACAATAAAGATAATTAATGATTAGTTGAAATTCATGGAAATACTCCTAAACTCAAAGTGCAATCGAAATATTTAAATTCACCTGATTCATCATTAAAATTAGAAATGCATGCAATTAACACTGATTATCGACACACATTTCATTGTCAACAAATTAATTGGATAACAAAACAAGATGGATTTGGGTAAATTGTTGAATAAATTAACATGGAATATTCAACAGTATCGAGAAAAGTCACTTGATGGGAAAAAAACAAAAGAAACTGAACCAGATTGACCTGATCTTGATCATTATCAAACTGTTGTTTCCCTTTTAAATCAAGACAATTGATAATAAAGCAACAATTTGAGTGACAATCAGACAAAACAATAGTAAAAATTATTTCACCCAAAATGAGAATCAACAGAGAAAGTGACTTTTGAATCTTCAATTAAACCACAGAAATATTAATCTGTTCAAGGTGAGCAACCCTGGAACCCATTTTAAACACTTAACCAGTTATGAGGAATAAATTGGATCAAGAAAATGATGTTACAATTTAAATTGCTGTTGAGCCATTTAATCACCATAATTATTGTTCCTTTGCTAGTTATTTTTCAATTTTGAGATTCTCTGGTTACGTCAATATGATAATAGATCCAGTTAAAGGTAACATTTGGATTTTAATTGACAGGGGAAAACCTTCATATCAGGCAATGGATTTAGGATTACATTTTTGATAATTGTTTAAAGGTAATTGTTGGGACCTTGGAAAGGTTGGGCGTTCATTTGATTGTAAATAGCTAACAATTAATTAGACAGCAAGCAAGATATTAATCGCAACACACAATGTTATTATAAAAGACACTTTCATCAAATTACTAGGAGCAGTCTGATGATGTTTTAATCCATTGCCTTTACTAGTCTATGATTTAATCTTGTGAGACCAGAAAATTAAATCACAAATGATTGTCAATTGATTATCAAGGCAATTATTAGTTTTTCAAAGGAAGTACAATACGAATTATCAATGGTATTGACAGGTTAGTTGCTACAGCTAATTACATTTTTTAGTTTTACCTTGTAATTAATTCAAATTTACTTAATCAACGCAATTTGATTCAAGCTTCCAATTAACTTCCTTTCGTTGTTAACACTATTAGACCATTTAGCTTATTTGTATTCAACTAAAGTTACAATTTACACTCAAACCTCACAATCAAAGTTATACATGATTGAACCCATCATGTAGATACAAAACTCAAACTGTAAGGAAAGCTAATCAGCTTTTAAATCAAACAGGCAAATTGGATTGACCAAAGTAAACCCAATTTTGGGTTAAAATGTTTTTCAAAAGTGAAATCACAACACAATATGAATTGACTATGAAAATCAAGAAGACATTTCAAGACACTTTTCAGCAAATTCAGTCTTTAACTGTTTGCTTTCAAATCTATTTTTTTGTCATTAACTCAGTTCCTAAATCAAAGGTTTGATTGTTTTGTCCCAATAAAACAAAACAATAAACATTCGGAGCAATTAAGGTTTTAAAGATTGGCGCAAGATTCAAGTTAAAATGTAAATATTGAAAGTCAAGTTCAATCGACTGTTGGTAAAAATTGAAAAGCAAATCATAATCCGTCTCAAGCAATAAACATATTGGATAATAAGCTATAAATGTTAATGATATAAATATCAGTGAATTATCTGATTAATTTGCTAATTCAACATCCTAATTGATAAACAAGTAAATACAATTGTTATTTAGTGAAACATGAAAGAACGATTTAGATTCAATTGTCGCTATCAAGTGACAGTAAATTGACTAATGTTGAAAAAAAATGAAATGATTCAAGATTTACGGAATGATGAACAATAAAGTAATCAAAGGTAAAAATTAATGGCAAGAAAAGAGGTAAATTAATGTTAGAACATGTTTCTGAAATAAATGATCCGGAAATCTATTGATAATCTGTTGATTGCAGGGAATTCAGTTGATTGTGAGTTGACAAGATAAAACAAATCATCTCGACAGTAAAAGCTAATAAAGATGTTTTCCCTTTTTTAATTTCATTTTGCTCTTTAAGTCAATTGTAATGAAAAAAAATGAGTGATTTAGAGGGAAAAACAAAGGAGCAAAAAAAGGTAGAGAAAAAGGTTTCTCTCAATTGACTTTGATTTTTGTCACAATTCCCAACAATTGCGATGAAAAGTGACAATTTTTTCGTGGTTGCTTTTTTACGGTAAACTTTAACATTTTAATTTGTTTTTATTTTCTCCCAATCAGTCATTTATGTGGTCTCAATCAACACTAACCAAGCCAGCAACAATCAAAGAACGATAATGATAATGATTGGTGTAGTTTGGTTGTAAAGGTGAGTTTGTAAGATGAGAGGAGAAATGAAAAGTTGATTGAGATTGATAAGAAATTAAATTGTCAACTTTGAGCAACATGGAAAGGCAAGTGATTAGAGTTGATACAAACCAATAGATGACTGCAGCCATAATCATTGAGGTTTTAGGTCCAAAAATGGCAACAATGGACGGAGCAATCCAATTAGCTATTGAAAAGACTAGATAGACGATTGAGAGCGATGTATATCCACTCCATGAATGGCCATTCCATTGTTTAGCATATTCTTGATTAACTCCTTTAACAACAGTTTCCTACAATTAGAGAGGAATGTTAATTGAGATTGTTTGATTAAGATTGTTTGGTTTGGGTTCTTGCCTGGATCATTCCACCGGTTTGAAAGGCCGTAAACAAAAGTAGAAATGAAAAGCCAAGGATTAATATGTTGAAGAAATGCTTATCCATGTTTGATGAACGGATTCTGGGAATCAAGGGATCGCTGGATGATGACAAGGTAGACGATAAGGAATCAACTTGATGGATTGACAACAGTGATTGCGGTGAAATGTCTTCACGTGCGGTTACAAATGATCCAGAGGTTGAAGGTGAAGTTGAGGAAAATGTTTGGTTGGCCGATGGACTGGTTTCGCCTGGAATCGGCTCGTACTGGTGACTTTGTGGGTTGTATTTACGACGGACTCGTCGGTAAACTGGTCGATGAAGAAAAGGTTAAAAGAAGTAAAAAGGTAATTAAAAGAGAATCACAATTAAAAGAGATTTGCGAATTGCAATTGGTGTCAGGTTAATCCATAGAGATGGTCATTGTATCACAGTTGTTGAACATTTAAAACGACTTGGTTAACTAATGGCAATGATTTTCAACATTTAGATTGAAAGTAAACAAAAATAATTCATTGAATGGATCGAGGATTGGTTAAGGAACCTGAGACTGTATCGAGTGGTTAACATAAATAATGAAATACAACAAAAAAAGTGAAACCAACAATTTGAATTGGGTAAGGAAAGTGAAAAGAAGAAGAAAAAAAAGTGGATTGGAAAATTATAATTGTAATTTTCAATGTTGCAGTTGACAAAATTTGCGCACAATTAGGTTGATTGTTTAATAATAGTCGCCATCTATTGGGTTCAATTTTATGTCTTTGCTGTTGAACCATCAACTAGTTGAAGGTAAAGTGTTGATTGTAAATTGTAAATCATCAACTAAATAAAGGTGATGATGGAGGGAGAAAGACAATAAATGGCGACGATTAGATTGAGAAAGGTGGATGATTTGATGACGATGATAGGCGGGAAAAAATGATGTAAATATCATGCAATGAAATTTTGGGTTCCAATGGAATTGAATACATTTGTCTTTATCATTTCAATGTTTAATTATTGAACGTTTAATTGATTAGTGAATAATCATGTTTTCACTAATCATTTGGAATCAAGGATAATTGGATTCGCCCATTGATAAGACAAGTTGAATGGAGTTTTCCCGATTCAAGCTTTGTTAATATCAAGTACATAATTATGAAACGCTGAGGGTTTACATTTGTTTACCAATAAATGTTGTATCAATTGAAATTACAATATTGGTTGACATTAACCTTAAATTAGATTTCATTAATTTCCTTGAAATGAGGCTGATTGTTGAACAGAGCGATGAGCTTTGCTGGTTCAGTTTGAAATATCCATTTAACCAGAGAATTGAAGCTTCTTTGATAGTAGCTTGGATCAAGAACTGCTTAAGACCTTTGGTTTGCTGGTTCATCGGTTTATAATCAACCTTTACTCCTGCCATGTGGATATTATGATAATTTGGGTTTATTTACAGATGAAATAATTCCTTGAGCCATTTGAATTGATTGATAATTCAAATGAACAGCAAAAAAGGGAAAGTTCAAGGTGAGATTGCAAAAGATATATTCATGTCAACTTGGCATTGTTTGATCAGTTCAATATTAACTTTTATTGGAAACAGGTTAATAGATAGTAAATTGGAAAACTTCCGTCTATTTCCATAGCAATTAAGTCGCCTTTTTGATTCTTTTGTTTGTTTTTGCTGATTTATGTTTCTCCTCTTTAAATTTGCCAATTAGATTATTAATTAACCTCTCATGATTGAGCTTTTAATGTGTCCTTTAGATGATGATAACATGAACCATGATCATTAGGAAAACTTTCAACTTTAACTCAATTGTGATCCAGTTATTTGACCATGACTCTTCAACAGTACTCATGTCCTTGACCATCAAGATGACTAAGGATTAACCGAGAATTACTTCAGTGATATTCAGTTGTGAGCAAATTAACAACTGCTAAGAATAGATTTCATGAGATATTGAACATGATGGGAAAACATATGATAAATTGAATGTTCAAAGTATATTCACAATCTGTTTCATTTCCATAGATAATAAACGATATGTAAGCAACAAAGTCAATGAACAACAATCACAGGATAATGACATTTTTTAAAATTTAAAAAATAGTTGAGCTAAACATGATAACTCAATAAGCATGGAACTTACTTTCTCTTATTTTACGTAAGGTTGCCATTGTTTGCTTCCGTAGGTCCTGAAGATAGCCCAATACAATACAAACCGAATTAGTCAAATAAATCTATCCTGGAATCCAAAAAGAGGATCAAACAGAACTGTCGTTAATTATAGTATTTTGGTCATAATTATATTTGGGAATCGTTAAATTATAAATAAGATACGTTGACAACTATCAAAATTTGAGTGTTTATTGATTAGATCTATTAAAGAAACAGCAAACAAGAAAATTACATCAGCTGGGCAAAGTATCGGATATTATCAATCAAATCAGGATACAGATATCATTTGTTGAAGTTGAAAAATCTATCAAAAAACATTAGCATGCCATTTGAAGAGCTCAAGTTCGAAGTCACAACTTTCTGAATTGAAAATATTGACAGTTCCATAAAGTCTGAATCTCAATTTCAATGTTGACTAGACTGAAGTTTACATCGTCAAGTTTATTTGGTGTTCATTAAGCCCATGGAAAAGCGAAGTTTAGTGCTGCCATCTAACGAATTTCCATCGAATATACCTAGAGATATTTTGGTTACTGGTAATCGGTTAACTGGTCAGAGGAAAAGAAAGTAACCAATCTTGGTTACTTCAGGAATTGGAGATTGAAAATCCCGATTTGTTCTACGATTTCAAGCATTTAAATTTCATACTTTAGCGATCTTCGAATTTTACAGTTCTATCGTGATCAGAATTTTCTAACCACATTTTCTGGTTGTGCTAGTCAATTAGACGCGAAGCCAAGTACATAATTGTGTTTAACCGTATTGACTCCTAGATTCGATCCGGTTTCTAGTCGTATCACCATTGCTAAAAGATAATGATTTATTCCATCTTTTTTGTCTAGCTTTTGTTTGATTGTATTGTAATCTAATTTTATACTGTGATTTTAAATTGATCATCAATTTAATATTTCTATTATTGTGCCTTGAAGCTATTTTGGTAAGTTTAAAGTTTAATCAAGCTCCTTTCAATTTAAATTATTGGTGTTTATATCGTAATTATGAGATTCTCATTCCTGGTTTTTTTCCATTATCTATTTTCTCTTTATTTAAAATACAGGCTTAAAAATCCAACCTCATGATTTTATTCGTTCAAACTATTTGAATATCATTCTAGTTTTCTATTGTATCTCGCTATGCAAGAGCTTGTAGATAAATCCGATGATTCAAGCAACTCCTCTGTCGTTTTATTGGAGACTATTTCTAATGGAGATCCAGACTTGACTCTTCTTGCCACCGAACTCCAGCGATTCATTCGTTCTGAATGGACCAAAACAAGAAGTAGAACGCGGTACAGAAGGAAAGATGTGATTAAAAATTGCTATATTAATAATCGGAAAGAACTGAAACGTTTACATGCATCGCATCCTCCTCAATCTGTTTCAGTTAATTACAAGTTTTCTACTTATGAAAATCCTTCTATGATAGCAAAAACAATGCTGGTTGATTTTAGTGATGGAAAAAAGACAAATGTATTTATTAAGCAAATGCATTTTGTCAAACAAATTCCTACCATGTTTATATGGGCTCCAATCCAGCAAAACTACCTTGTGGCAGATGAGCAGGAGCTTCATAATATTCCTTATCTCGGTGATGAAGTTATCGACAATGAAAATAATTTTATAGTTGATCTTTTGAACAACTATAACGGTAAAGTGCATGGAGATGGAGAGACTAATAATTTTGAAGATGAACCGTTTTTCGAGTTAGTTGATAATTTATCTCAAAAAATGGATCAGGTTGAACTCCTGGAACCACTTCTGAAAGAAGTTCGCTCACTTAAGCCATCTACTTTAGCAGGTATGTTCTCCTATTGAATGATCTCTGCCATACTCATGATATTTTTATTTTCAGAAAAGGAAAAAGAATATCCACCTTTCAAAGTATTTGAAGCTATTTCCTTTGCATTCCCTGAAAGAGGCTCACCCGAGGAGCTCCGTTTAAAGTAAGTGAAATAGCTGATTTATTATGAATTTTGAACTAATAATTTTCTTTTACTTTAGGTATCTTGATATCATGAGAAGAAAAGATCGTATTCGTATTATGCCATTAGAAACTACTCCCAACATTGATGGTCCAAATGCTGTTTCTACGTCACGGGAGCAAACTATGCATTCTTTCCATACACTTTTTTGTCGCCGTTGTTATAAATATGATTGTTTTACACACCGTAAGTCTTGGTAAACTCTAAATCTTAACCGATTAATTAATTCTTATCTCAATATTTAAATAGAGGTAGGATCTGTTAAACCAAGATGTCGTTATACTAAGATGAAACCCGACACGACTCCCTGTGGAGATGATTGTTATTTACATTTCGAGTCTGTCAAAATAAAAATCAAGCAAGAATCCGAGGAGGAAGCTAGGAAACAAGAGCTACCCGAAAGACCGATAGTTAAGAAGGTTTTTTCTGTTGAATCCAATGGAAGTAGTGGTAATGATGCTAGCAGCGAAGATAGCAATGATAGCTCTGCTTCGATTAAAATGAGAAAAGGTCCAAATCATATCCTAACTTCTAGATCGAGTAGTGAAACTAGAAGGCTACGAGCTCCAAGCTATTCTTCACTATCTAGTGAAGGTCAAGATTTAAACGGCAAAGACGAGTGCGATAAGAACAACTCAGTTCAAGTGAATGGAAATACAACTAACTCTGAGGGTTATACAAACGGACAGACCAATGGAAATGCCAACGGAAAGACCAACGGAAAGACCAACGGCAAAGAAGAAGACAGTGTGGAAGAGTCTATGAAAAGTGAATCGGAAGCGGTGAACAATTGCTCAGATCTTGATGATTCTCCTATTGATATGGGTAGTTGGACTGGGTCCGAAAAATCATTGTTCCGTGCTTTATGGAATGCTTATTATAAAAACTACTGTGCTATAGCTGAGGCCATATTTACAAAAACTTGCGCTCAAGTGTATCTTTTTGCTCAACAGGAATGGGAAGAGTTCGTTGTTGACGAGGTTTCCAAAGAGACAACCACAACTCCAAAAAAGAAGAAAAAGAGGAGTAATTCACTTTACCATAGAAATAAAACATCTCGTCGATCATTTACCAAGAATGGTCGACCCCATGTGAATGTGGACAATTACGTTCCGTGTGATCATCCTGGTCAATCATGTGATAGCAGATGTGTATGTGTTAGTACAAACAACTTTTGTGAAAAATATTGTAATTGTAGTCTTGACTGTCCAAATCGGTTTCCCGGATGCCGATGTAAGGGCCAGTGTAATTCTAAACAATGTCCCTGTTTCAATGCCATTCGTGAATGTGATCCAGACTTGTGCCAGTCTTGTGGAGCAGATTCTTTTGACGAACCAAACATTTCTTGTAAAAATGTTTCAATTCAACGAGGAATGAAGAAACACTTATTGCTTGCCTTCTCAGATGTTGAAGGTTGGGGAATCTTTTTAAAAGACTCAGCTCACAAAAATGAACTTATTTCCGAATATTGTGGGGAAATTATATCTCAAGATGAGGCTGATCGTCGTGGTAAAGTTTACGACAAGTATAATCGAAGTTTCTTATTCAATTTAAATAATGAATTTGTCGTTGATGCTACCCGAAAAGGAAATAAGATTCGCTTTGCTAATCACTCAGTAAACCCTAACTGTTTTGCCAAAGTAATGATGGTCAATGGAGATCATCGTATTGGTATATTTGCCAGGAGAAACATTGAACCTGGAGAAGAACTATTCTTTGACTACAGATATGGATTAAGTGAACAATTGAAATTCGTTGGAATCGAACGTGATATTATTTTAGCGTAAATTAAAACAAATTCTTGCAACCATAAAGAGAAAAAGAATCAAGTATTAAGAAAAAAGTTACTTCAATCTGCTAAAGTAAATCATGATGATGTTTGTTTTAAAAAAAACTCAAAAGTGATCTCTCAAACTGCCAGTTCATATTTGTGTTCATAAAATGGCAACAAACCTAACAATTACATTTAATTGTAATGTGTACGAATTATTTATAACCTCTAGGACCACAACAAACCTCAAAACAAAGCAACTCTTTTTTCATAGGGAATCAAACAAAAGCAAAACTTCAATGTAACAAATGGATAATCATTTTGATTCAAGATAATCACGCTGATTTTACATGTTCAGAATTATTTCATTTTTATTTCTATCTCTATTTGACTGTATAACTTTCCTTTTATTATTTATGAAAAAAATGAGTAACATTTTTGAAATGTTCTGAGACAAATGCCATTTTGTTTAAATAATGACAAATGACAATTCAAATTAAAACCTTTTTTTTCATCTTGTTAACAAAATTACAATTTCTTTCAAATAACCGTTTCTTTTAATAATATAACTCCAAGAAAGTAGAAATATTTAACATTGGGTTCATTTTGTTGTCCATGATTAATAACATTGTAGACACTACATTAACAATTAGTAATCTTGTAACAATTTTATAACAATTATTGTCATCGTCATTAATATCACATGAATATGATATAAAAATGAATATATATTTAAATATATATGTTGATTCACCAAATGAAGCTGATGACTAAATTTACACAGAAGAGTTGAAAAGATTTTGAGGTAAAAAATTAAAGTAAATATTATAGTTAAATATAAAGTCAACTATCACTTGAAAATGCCGAATTCACTTGGCCCTGGTTAAAGAAGCCAATATTTGGTGCTGACGGAGTTGTATTGACACGGGATTGACTTAAGGAATACAAATTACAATTTTGAGCATTAATTGTTGAAGCTGTTGCCGGTAACAGCAAACCATTGTTTGTAGATGAATGAGATTGTGTTAAAGTAATAGATGTTGGTGAGGATGAAGATTGTTCACAATTAACATGATTAGTACTGTTAATAATATTGTTGCTTGATTGAGATATCACTGGTAATGTGGTTTCTGTTGAAGATGCTTCAGTGTAAAAAATGTTGTGATAGGCTGGCGGAGGAGTTCCAATTTCTTGATTAATCATTCTCATGGTTTCACTGTAACTCGGCGGTTTCTCGGCTGGTGTTAAATTGCCAAACAGGTCACTTGGTGAACCACTTGTTCCCGGATAAATTGTAAACAAATCATTCATTGTGGATCGACCAGTTGCTTGGTGAGTTGAATCAGCTGGACAATATGATTTACGCAGGATACACGCCAAAAAGATCAACAAAATCAAGGCAAGGCAACTTGAAGCGAAAATCATTGTTATCTTGTAAATTTCAATTGCTACAAAAAAATAAGAAGAAGAATCAAAATTAGAGAAAATTGGTTTTAAATAAAAGGTTCATCATTAGTTGATTATCAATATTAACAGTCCAGTGTTTACCAACTCAAGGTTTGATCAGTAACTGAATATGTTGACTTTAACTTCTGATTATTTCAACATTGATACAAGATAAGTTTCTTTGATTATCTTTTCAAATACATTATAACTGTAGATCGACTATAACATCATTAATCTAATATTGTTTGATTTATCGAGAATCGACTCAAGATTCTGGTCAATTTATCGTTTTTTAGCAAATGAAAATTACAATTGAAAGCATTCGTCTCTCAACCTTAAACACTTAACTAATCGTCCAATCTAACCTCGAAATAATTCCTACAATTGACTGGAAAATTATCTTAATTACAATAATTACATTTTACGTTCAATTATGGCTACAATTATTATGCCGGTTAAACAATGGCTAAGAAAGTCAATGTAATTATTTTACTATCAAATGAAACAGTTTTTCATTCATTTAACCAACAATTCAAGCTGTTCCTTTCATTGAATATTCATTGTTAGTCAGAAGAAGAAGAAACTGATAACTTGATTTCAATCATTATGGTTATCTGATCACTGAATGAGTCAATTTTGTCAGCAGTTGAACATCAACGTGACAACAAAATTATCTTATATTGTGAAGGTTCAATCAGTTTTACCTGTCGATTGGAAAGTTGATTCAACATCAACAGATTATATTCACCATTGACTGTTAATTTTAATGGTAAACTATTAATAACACCATTTACAAAGGTCAATTAGATTAGCTGTAATGAATGGCAATAAACACTGATAAACATGATTTGGTTGATCAATGAATTGATAAACTAAAAAGCGTTACTTGAAAATGTCTGACTTTTGGTGACAAAAGTAAAAATGTATCAACATTTATTTATGGTTAATCAAATGATCCTTCAATGTAAACATTTAAATGGTCATTGTCATCAAGTTGATTGAACCAAATGAGAAAGTTGATTACCATTTTCAGTGAAATCTGAAAGTTAATCCTTTCCACCTTAATCGTGTGTCAGATTAACTAACAAAGGGATTTAGCTAACAAATTAACAGCTACAACGGCAATCTTAATCGTTGGGAGGAAAGGAAATTATCGATGATTAGTTGAATCATTATTACAATCAATGGAGAAAATTGCACTTTCAATATGTTATTCCAACATTGCAGGGTTGGGTGTTTATGAAAATGAAACTAATCCATAATCTGATGGGCGACGAATAAAAACATTCAATCTTAATCTTTGTTTTGCTCAATAAAACTCGATACTTATTCCAAGTTTATTTGTTAGTCTCACAATCAAGTGTTAACCTTTCAAGTGCTTTATTTTAACCATTGAAATATTGAGTTTTAATTACAATCATGAAACTTGATTTTTTATTCCTTATCTAAACTAAAGAAGTTGGCTCTGAATTTCAAACGAGATTTCAAGATTTTTGCGATTCGACAAAACTGAACATCACTTGAATTTATGTTGAGATTTGTTCGTTAATAAAGATGAAGTTAGAAGCAAGTTTTTGGCCGAAATTATTTTCATAAAAGAATTGAGAAAATCTTGAGAAAATTATTACTTTTTTGAAAACCCAATTTACAGCATTTTCAGAGTTTTGTTCAGTTAGGGTCGATGAAAGTGAAGTAGTCATTGGTTTGAAGTATTACAATGTAAAAGTTTAATAACTCAATTTTGCTCATTGAAGTCAAAATTTTAAACATTCCCTGGTAATGCTAACAACCCTGTTAAATGATGACATCAAGAGTTGCAAACTGATTTTGCTGAGTTTCATTCATATGTTTGAACCGAAATATTCATTTCGGTGAATTGAGCTTTGCTGAAGGTTATCAAACTTAAATTTTATCAGAAATAGTTGAACAAGTAAAATCGAAACTGCAAAACACTTTCCTCAAACTAGATTAAAACCCGAACTCTAGAAAGGAACAAATACATCAATAGTTCAACGATTAGTTGATCATAAATGCTATCTAGTTTGTATCCTGACTTGTACCGAGTTGAATCAACGAATAGCCTTGAAAACTTTCATGACTTAAGTGACTAACATTTTGTCATCTCTTCAGTGCACTGAAACTCATTACAATAATGTAAACTAAGAATAGAGTTAAAAGTGAAAATGACCCTCGATTGAACTTGAAGTTGAATGTAAAAATGATTCTGATTGACATTTAATTTGAAAAAAATGACAAACTTGAAAGAAATTTGAATTACAACTGAAATCAGTTTGAATGATCGTTACTTGAACTGATTGGAATAGAGTCATTAACTGAACCAATAAATTCATCCTCACGATTCCATGAGAAGGTGAAAATGACTTCACCAATGAGAAGCAAATTCATTGATAAATTTAGTCCAAAAGAATCACCTTAACACTCTAACACATTAAAATCAAGGTTGAATAGTAAAATAATTACATCACTCAATTAGCTAATTGCAAGTTCATTTGACGGTTCGACTGGACCAAAAATAGACAATCGAAGCAACATTGACATTTTTAATTGTCATTTCTAATTCAAGACAATCCTCACAATTAGCAAAGAACAGCAATAAAAAGAAATTACCAGAAAATGAATTTTCTCCAAACTACTCCGACTAAAGATAGATTGCCAGATTCAGAATAAAACTCGGAATAATTTTATTCAATATTGGAACCTTTTGATAAATGATTAACTCGCTTTATCAACCGCTTTAATTGAAACACTTGCTCCAGATTTGTAAATTGATTCAACTTTTTCTTTTATTACTCTCTTGCATAATTTGTCAATCATTTGTTAATATTAAACATTGAACCTCTCAATATTGATCACAATCAAAGCATAAACAGTTTCCTGATTTAGTAGCAATGTTAATGGCTATGATCCTGATAACGGTGAAACTGGAACTGAAAATAGCATTTGTTTGTTTGTATCAAAGGAGATGATAAGTTGAAGGCATGAAAACACATGAAAAGTAATTAACTAAAGGCAATTCAGTTAACTGTGGTTAAACTAAAACAAAAGCTTAAAATTAAAATATGATTATCTTGCACATTAATCAGTTGATTTCCAGTGAATTGCAGGTTTAATGAGACCAAATGAAAATGGCAATTTGAGAAGCTTGGAATAGCAAAATGGATACAAACAGGGAAATCATAATTGATTGAAAAGATTGTTAATCTTTCAATTTCATAACAGTTAATCTGATCGTAAAGTTATGCCAAGAAAAATTTGTCGAGAAACAATTGAATCAGATGATTGAATCAATTTCAAGAATTGAACCTTTTCCTTCCTATTATTACACTCATCGATTTATCGCCACTTTTTGCTCTTTTTTTTTGTCAATTGGTTAAAGTGGAAAATGGTATCAAAAAATGAACAATAAAGGCAACTGTTAATATTGATGTTTCTCGGTGAGAACAAGAATATTGATTAAAGTTGTTCTTCAGGGAAAATTGGTTATCGATCGACAGCTTACCTGTATTATGAATTGGAATACACTTGTATCTGCCAGATTCGTAGTAATAATCAGTGCACCGACACACGTTGAAATGGCAGGTTGATTGGGGAACAACACACTGTTCAGATGAAATACACTCGTCCATAATGAAACCTGGCGAGAAAAGAATGGTTTAGATTTTTGTTGAGGAAATTATTATTAAACATTTGCTTACTTTTTTCGAGACACTTTTTCAGGCTTTTGGAATATACTTCATCTTCATCACAGCATTCGGGACACCAGGGCGGATAATAGTCCATAGAAGGTGAAAAGGCTTCAATGGTATCGTTGAAATTTTTGGTATTCATAAATGGATTGTAGGTTTCACTTGTTGTCCTAAGCGGTTCTTCATCTCCTGGATTTGGTGGACGCAGGTTAATCCGATGATCAAGTGTTGGCACACAATTTGTAAATCCATTTTTAAGTTGGTCAATTAAAACAATTAAAATGGTCAAAAATGATTTGTACAACATTTTGTGTTTCTGGAAATGTTTACAATTGAAAGGCGAGAACAACAAATTTTATAGTAACCAATGGTAATGTATACTGGAAAATATTATGTGTTGAAAGGCAAAAAGGGAAAACAAGAAACAGTAGCAAATGAATTTGCTTTACAATTTAGTTTCAACTGTTTATTTACACGTTAATTGCATCAGTAAAGTCAATAGACTTTAGTTAAATGTCAATAAATTTTTAAGCTGCCAGGAAATTAAGATGTTGGATGTAATTAGTGTATTAATTATTGATTAATCGCGACTCAACAAGAGTTAAAATGTAAAATGTACAGAGAGAGTGAAGATAACAACAAAAAAAGGCAAAACTGTGAAGACTGTTAACCAGATAATCAATAGATTGGTTAATTTACGGAGAATGATTAATACTCTTTGGAACTGTTTAATGGTGGCGATGATGAATGAATGAATGAACTGAATCAAGAATAGTCGTAATCAATTCTGAACACTAAAAATGCTGTAATCATTTTCATCGTTATCAAAGTGAATTGATAAATACCATAGAGATCAATTGCGGAGTCTCATTAAAAAAACCGCCCATTGTTAGTTAATTTACTTAATTTATAACACCAACAATTACCTTTTCTCTGTCTATTAACCATTCTTCTTCAGCCTCTGTCTTTTCTCTGTTTTCATTTTCTACTTTTCATTCTTTCTCCATGCCTCTGTCGCTCTTCAAACGCTCGTTCAATCTTTAGCCATTATTTTCACTCAACACAATCAGTTACAATCAATTTCAACAAAAAAATCTCTAATTATCTGGTCTACTTTTCCATATTTCATAGTTCAAATAATGATATTTAGTTGAGTTTTGCAGCTGAATTTGGTTTTAATGATTATTACCCGGAATGACTTCAGCTAATGATGTTAATGATTCCAATGGTGACCCTTACACATTGATTAGCGATTATATTAAGATGATACTTTATCTTTGAATTTTATTGTCTCGAGTTTATTGTTAAAGGCTGATTAAGTTTCATTATATTTACTCCAGCTTTCCTTTGACCATAAATGTTGATGTGATAATTGAAATTGTTGATAGAGAGTTGAACGTCAATGGTTATGACGATGAGATGTTGCATTAGAGTGAAAATATAAAGACGAACAGAATGTGAGTTATATTAGGTAATTATAAAGGTTGATTGTTAATCAAATTCAATGATAACATGTAATTGTTTTGCTTGCTTTTATTTGCTTCGTTTAAACCCTGTTATCAATGTATATAGGAATCGGTGGACACGGGAGATTTCAAATCAACATGAGGATGTTGCATGATAATCAATTTTATTCTGGTAAATTTCTTGGTAACGTGATTGTGATAATTTTTCACAAGTGCACTAATGTTTACATAGACTGTTGGTAAGCAACTGAGTTATTATCATTGAAGGTGATAACGATGTAAAAGAAATTGATTACAAAAGATTTCATTTTCGATTCAATTTAATATTCAATTTGGACTCGAAACAATTCGACTGTTTGAAATTGGGAGATAGAGCTTGCTGCAATTTATTGGCTTGATTGTTGAAAATGATTTTGATAGTAAATTTACAAAAAAAGGCGAAACATAATTTACAGATGCAAAACAAACACAATATTTAAGCCTATTTCTTTTTGATTAAGGTTTTTCCTTCTCCTGTAAACGCCTCGAAAGATTTTCCAGCTTGATTTTCTTTGTCTTTGTTATCAACTTCTTTGCGAACGTTTCGCTTAAATTTAAGAGTTCCTAATTGAAAGTCATAGTCAGGTATTCCTCTTCTAATTTGAACTTTGGGTTTAATTTCTGTCGTTGAAGAGCTCGCCTTCTGTTTTCCATCTAATCTACAACCTTTTCCTGAAAAAGCAATGAAAGCGTCAATATATTTTCCAGCCAGTTCTTGATCTTCCTGGTCTTCAATCATAGCATTAATGTCTTCAAGATCGTTCTTCTCATTGGCAACCTCAGAAGGATCTGGAATAGAAACAATAAATGAGATTAATACAGGACAGTTGATTAGATTTTCATAAGTAAAGAATCAGGAAAGTTCAATATTACCTCTATAGCCAACTGGAGGAGCAAACTCTACATTCATGTCGCATTCAATAATGGTAACTGCTGGCCCAGGTTTAGTTTCGAGGACACATAATTCAAAAATTTTATCATTGTAAACAATTGCTACAACATCGCCAGTAGTCAAACATGCAAAGTTTCTAAGAGCATTTTCTAGGACAGCTTTTGGATTGGTAATGTCCAAGAAATCAACAGACTGAGGCTGAAATTTGGAAAATGTTGCGACAGGCAGACTGGTTGATTCAACACGAATAAGAGATCCTTCATCGAGTAGTAAGTTTCGCATCATCCAATAGGGTAGGTAAACTTTACCCTCGTCAGCAACGAATTCCAAAACACCACTATGAGTCATGCGATTGGTTGCTACATTTGTTAATTTAAATAACATTGGATAGACAATGTTTAAACGAGTTAAATGGTCTAAAGCTGACGGTGGCATGATAATCTTTCCTCCTCTTTCAACGTCTTGCCTTTCACTACCTGGCAACATGGACACAGAGAAGCACTTGTAGACCGTATTAAACGGTCTTAAAGGTTCATTAAACACGTTAATGTTAAAATTAAACATTGTGGTAACCAATATAAATAGAAAATTAAGAAACAGCTTATGAGAAAATTTAAGAATACTTTTAAGATGACAATCAAAAACAAATGCTTAAAGTGCTTGTTATTATACAGTAACGCCTCCTACAGAGCACTCAACAGACTATTATAAAGTTTTCTTTTTAAATTTATGTTAATTAGATTATAGTTTATTTAACGATTTACCTGAAAATTCTGATGAGCTAAATCTTTAAATTGAGGAAATCGCGAGCTCAAAAGCTGAAACTGGTAAAAGTGCAAAGAAGAATTTCATTTATTAGACTTTAATACAGACTAAAGTGTTTTCAATGTAGTTACTCTTTTTGTAATTCGCTCCTCTGAGAACCTGGTGGATAATCTGGAAAACCTTTTCAACATAAAATTCGGCATTAAAAATGTGTTGTTTACATTAATTTTTTATTATTATTGATAATCTTTCTTTTATTTTCTTTAGCTCATCATGTCATTGAGCAACTTGGTACCACGAAGATATATCTCACTGAACTCCGTTTTATTCAGATATGCTACAGTTGCCAAAGATGGTTCACGCAATGAAAAAAAAGAAGTGTCCAACAAAAAGCAAGATTGGGCTCGTGTAAGATACGCTGGGTTAGAAGAAGTTTCAGTAAAACGACGATACTATCAAAGAAATGAGTATTTCAATAGTGATCCTGAGCAAGCCAAGAATACTTCAATCGAGCTTTTCAACCGGATGGCTCAATCATTGAAGGACCAAGGGTATGTTTTTTCTGGCGGCTTTAATTCAACTGACTAATTTTGTTTATCCTCAGGTATTCAAGAGAAATGAAACCATATACACCCAGAGAAGATGTTATTGAATGCATCAAGAATATTTACATGTGCTATTTTACTCCGAAAACCGAAAACGATGATGACTGGCTAAGTCAACCCCTTGATGATATGTTCACCAAATTTAGTGTAAGTTAACTGGATAAAGCGCTAATAGTCTTATATTGATAGTTCTTTTCTTATTCTTTTGCAGTTCTTAAGTGAATGTGATAAACAACTCGAACACGAAATTCCTAGTCCTGATTTGCATTTGATGAAAACAGTAAATGATGTTGTTGAATTTTATAGAACACCAGTTAGAGGGTTGACAACTTATGATGATCTTGCTCGACGTCAGAATGAATTGCCGCCTAATCTCAACATAATCAACCAGTATATACGTTTTAATCCCGAAACCGATACTTTTTTCAATGGTAAAGATGCATTTCCAAACAATCCAATGGTTGTCACTGGAATAAAAGGAAAACAGAAATATGAAGATATTAAAGTTCCATTTGAATGGCCTGATGTATGATTTAGATTATGCTAATTAGTCTGTTAACAATTAGATACCATTGTAAGTGTTTTCTGACATTGTCTCTATCTTTGTTTACAGTTAATATACAAATATTAGCATTTTGTATTAATAAAATTGTATTGTTTACAAAGTAAATTTTTTTCACAACATTAATATAAATTTTCCCACAAAGATGGCAGAATTAGTCATTTCTAGGATCATCGTAAACAAATTTAAAGGTTTAGTTTAACCGCTTCTCTTCATTATTGTTGTGAAATTTAACAAGTGTCACTCTCTCGTTGACTTCATTAGTTTATTTTTCTCTTTGATTATATTTTTCATGTTTTTTAAATATGGCTGCTTCTCGTGATTTAATCAAAGTATCTCTTTCTTCATCCTGGAAAGTGACTTATGGCTCTCTGGAAAAATGTATAATGCTTGGTGAAGATGAGGAAGCAGAACTCAACATTCAGGATTATGTTTCTCCTGATAATTGTATTTTGATTGAACCAGTTGACCAAGAATTGATGAATTGTGATAAAGGTATTGAGCCTTGCCAAATAACAATCTCTATTGTGGATGGAGAACAGGATAATTGGCGATTTAAGTGGTTCTCTTTATTATCATCAGCAAAATATGTCGAGGTCCATGGAAAGTCAAGTCGAGAATACATAACTTGCCTTAGAGGAGAATTGGTTGAAGATTTTGATGACATGGTTATGCTTCATTACGAACATAAACTTTATCCCAGACCAGAGTGTTTCCATTTGACTTTTATTCCTAGAAGGCCATCGGAACCAAAAATTTGGTTATATGGTACACAGATTAAGCTCCTGAAATACATTGGGCCTCCACCTGCAGACAAACCAGGTTCTTCCAGGGCAGAAAACACGGATGATTTTTTCTTTCAAATGATGTCTCGTATGATGACATCAAAGTTGAATCCACGCCGATAGTCAGGCCCAAATTGTTGTATGACTATTCAATTTTTAGAATTTTTTATTATCTCATTTCTGTGCGGACCGTTTCGTTACATCTTTCATGCCTTTTTATAAATGCTTAAATTATTCATTGTCCAATAAAAATTTTGAATCAAATTCTCTTTATTTAATTGATAAGAAACGAAGAACTAATTTAACTAAAGATTTTAATCACAATCCAACTATGAAGCTTCGCTTGCTTGTTTGGCTGCTGATTGCTCTTGAAGAGTGTAGTCGGCTACTTTTTTACCAATCTTACTATGAATATCTACAAATTTGGCTACACATCTATCAAGGCAAACAGATTCTCCTTTGGATAATTCAGCATCACGATATTTGGGTGAAATGCATTTTTTCATACATGATGCATTCATGCGTTGAAACATGTCAGTAATGATTTCTATTTCCATACCCTCGGCAAATTGAGCCAAAGAGGGATCGAGATGAGCTAAGGCAGGGTTGACTTGTTGTTCCATTTTGCCAGCCATCTAGTAATAGAACTGGTCAGATAGAGGATCAAAGTATACTCAAAGATTTAAATACAAATGAGATGAGACTAAGGGGCGATTTTGGTTATAACGGTCTTGTACCGGATTCAGAACTGGTTTCAGGATCAATATGAACGGATGTTTTCACTCTATGGTGGGCTTTACGTAACTCAAAAGCTCGATTACGAATCGTTATATAAGATATCGAACCCAACACAGTAAAACAAACCCTGTAATATTAAAAAAAGAGAAGATGAGTAATTTGAATACAGTTGTAAACAATTAAACTTACCAAGCTATGGAAACCTTTTTAACTACTGAATATGTCATGTAGCAATGAATAATTAACTAGATCTGAGTTAATTAATTAGAAAAAACTAAAAACCAAATTATGAAAAACGTGTTTACATTAAAGATAAGTGAAACCAATAATATACCAGCTTAACCCAAACATCGATATATCGAACATTGTATTGGTAAAAAGTAAACAATTGTTAGCCGTTTTTTGGTTTCTAATCAAACAATCAGAGTTCATAATAAATTTAATAAATTGTTCAAGTGTTTTATTTTATCTATTGTGGACCTCAAATTATCAACCGACAGTAAACATTTGTTTAACCAGTCAAATGACTGAAAACTTGACGATAAATCTTAAAGATAGAGGTCAACTCGACTCATGACTTGATTGTGCGTTCAACCAGATATTAACCCATGAAGAAATTAAAGATTTTTCATTGATTTATAGTTTTATTGTTTTGATTCCCACACAGAGACACATTTCCAATGAGCCATTAAAAGATGGAATCACATTTTGAAAAAAACTCCAACCAAACTGGACGCGAAGGAAGTTTTAAAATATGGAGACCAGATTATTTTTGATTAGAATGATCCAAATCCAGATCATTATTTATTTAACTGATGACGAATTTTACAAATAAATGAGTTTAAAACTCATGTAACATGCAATAACAATCATTAATAACTGTTTTAAGTAAAGGTGAGGAAAAATAGGTCAATAAATTGTCTCATGTTGAGGTGAACAATTTTTTATATTTTTTCATTTCTTCTCAATTAGGAATGAAACCATTTCTTTATTAAATAGGAATGACGTTTATTTTTTTCATTGGAAAATATTAATAGTCAATTCTCTCTTATCAATTTAGATTGTCCAAGGAAAGAAGGAAAGGAAAGAGGAAAAAAGATTCAACATTTAAACATTTACGAAGGAAGTATTTCAAGATATGAGCAATCATCATGATCACCAATTCCAATCTTAGAATCACTTTTTGAGCGGCCCTTTTCATCAACGGACCCATTGAGAAATCTATTTGATCTGTGAGCTTTAATGGACAATGAATCATAATCAACATAACCAAAGTCATCATTAACATCTATTTTGGGCAATTTAGTGTTTCGAGTGCCAATCGAGTTGAGTGAATTCCTCAAGTGTTCCTTAGCACTTTTGAGCAGACTCTTTTTACTACAATCGGCACCAGCGTTATTGCTCCATGTAAGCGATCCACCAATGCAAGAGGATCGACCCGAACACGAAGTTGAATTGGTTGCTGTTAAGTTGAGCTTATTCAAGGCAGGCGTTGAAGGTGCTGATCGATGGGAACAGCTTCCATTGATACTTGATTCCGAGTTGAATTTACAAAATTCATGGTTACAGGAGCGAAGGAAACCCTTTCGATGTTGACTATTGTACATTGATCGAGTACAGGTTAACCTTGCTCGATGTAAAGCCCAATTGTTAACAGCCTTTTCAAGTTTACGCATAATATCGTGCCCTTGATCAGAAGTAAATTTAAATATTCCCTCGCCGGTTAAACATCGTCTATTGAAGAGAAGAGAAGAAAAAAAGAAGAAGAAGAATAAAGTTAAATAGAAAATTTGAATTAATTAAATCTACAGGGAGTAGAAAATTTACAATCAAAATGATTACTCTGTTGAGAAACTGTCAGTTGAAACAATCAACACAAGTTAATGAACACTATTTGCTTTGAATTTGTAGTGAGAGTTGAATAGAGTTGAGTTCAACTTGAAAACAAACTCATCAAGTGTTTTCAGCTTTATTTCAATTAAACCTTTTTTTTCTTTCTTTTATTTCAACATTTCTATGAATTCATGCAAAAGTTTTCACCAAAATAAAACCAATTCTCAGGTGAAATTGAGTTTAACCAGTTGTTGCTTAAAGTCAAACTTGTGTAATGATGAGGGTTGCGATTTTGATGAAAAGGATTGCAAAAACAAAATGAACAATATTTCATATTGATTAACCATTGAGCAACCAGAATGATGAATCTCAAGGTTTAATTGTTTACTTTCATCTAATGTAACAAGGTCAACAGGAAATTATATTTCAATCAAGTAAACAATCAAAAGGTGTTAATAGTGTAAACCAATATTATCACCAAAGTAAATCACTATAACCAAAAGAACCCAATAATGAGTTGCTTTGCTCTTCCTTAGACTCTCGTCATCTCAACATAAAACATCTTCAAGATTTAGTCTATTTCCAGGTGAAACATTCAATTTGTATTCCTCTTCAATATCACAGTTAATTCACCAATAACGAAATGAATTGAAAAGGCAAATCAAGTTTACCAATCAACTTGCAGAATCGCAATCAAGAAAGGCAATGAAAAGTCTTTTGTATTTTCTTGAATCAACAGTGAATCAATTAACTTCAAATTTGTTGTTTACTCGCTCAACATAAGCTTCGAGTTAGCATTTCTCAAAATCTAGTAAACTCACAACCAAACACCTCAAAAGGGGCACAAAAATTATCTCCATTAGCTCCGAGCTTCAAGACTTTTGTACATTAAAAAAGTGACAGACATTTCTGTTGTATCTGACAATTTAATCATTTGGAATTACGGTTTTCGGTTGATTTAATTCTGAATCAACAATTGAAGAGTGAAAAAAGATTGAAACCAATTAAAATGTTGAAAAATATTAACTTGTTCAGAAGATCGCTCGCCAGAATCAGAACGAAATTGAATTTATTTCTGATGCTTTTATCTTCTTCGCTATTTTTAATTATCATACATCAAGTTTGGTGAAAATTCATCTGTTAGTTTATATTCACGAGAATTCAAAAAATGAATGTTTAAAATGGCTAAGCTTTGTTAAGCTGCGATAATATTAAAGTTGAAATAATTGAAAAATTATCTTTTCGCAGATTAACGATGAGGATTTTTTCAGATTCTATTGATGGAACTGAAGAGTAATAAAGTAAATAAAAATACAGATGGAATAAGAGATAATCTGAAATATTTATAGCAACGAAGTAAAGCCATTTTGACACGCAATTATCATTGATATATTTATATCCTTTAATTTTTCTTGAACATCGTCGATATTTGATTTCCTTTGGGAAAAGAAAACAAATTATCACTTAAACAATCCCTTAACAATGATCCAGCATTTCAATTAATACATTATTAAAGTTAGATTATTTCATTCCGGCATTCATAATTAAACTCAACTTAGCCTCAACAAATCCACAAACTGAGACAGTTTTAATATTAAACGAGATTCTGCCTCATTTCAGAACAGAATAGTTTCGACTTTTTTACAATCGAAAAGTCGAAATCTGAAATTCCGAAAAGTCTCATTGATACTCTGTTGACTTTAATAGCTACTAATCGAGTAAAGTAGGAAATGGCAAATGAAAACATTTGGTTAGATAATTGAAAAATAATGGAAACAGATTATTGATTAAATGTCAAATAAATGGCTAAGTAGAGACAAAACTGTCACCAAGTATATTATTACAGACAATTATTAAACCCATTTTCCTCCTCTTCAATCATGTCAGTGATTTTCTTTTGAATCACTTTTGGACTGTTTACCAAACTGGATAATTTGTTAATTTCAATGGAAACATATTCTCAATTGTTACATGCTATTCAATTTAACCAGCATTCACTCTTGATGGAAGCTTGGAATTAACTATCGAAGAAAGGTTGAAATGTTTTTTTCTTCACCAAATAAACCATGAGAATAAAGTAGCAAATAAAACAGTGGCTCATTGATGCCGTTTAATTAGGTTAACCTAATTGATTATTTAATTGAAATTGATCAAAATAATTGCATTCAGACAAGAAGAAGAAGAGAAAAGCGAAAAAAATGTTGAATTTAATGAGAAACGGCAAAGGAAAAGAATGAAATAAATTTAAAGTTTAAAGTTAAAATTACTTGGAAATTGAATCGATTCGTAAAACTTGATTGCCAATTAACAGTAACCAATTGATGTTTCCAGCCAATAGTTAATTGATTCAATTGATTCTGGTTAATGCTGAACAAGGAAAAGGTCGATACAAGTTAAACATTAGATTTAAGTGTTTTTATCCTTAGTTTTTCTTCTCCCTTCTCCCTGACTATTCATTTGATAACCATTTAATTCAATGTTATTATTGAACATGAACGATCCTCAACTAATATTGATAATCTTTTTGTTTATCGATCTCAGTTATCGCCCAGTTTCATCGTCTGTAAACTGATTATCTCTAAATTTTTCATCTCGTTATACAATATTGATCGTAATCATTGAAATCTTTTCAATGTAATTTTCGAAGCTCAAGGTTGAGTTTTAAATTGTTTTTCACTTTTTTTTCTTGTTCAACCTTTAAACACCTTTAGGGAATTCATCATGATACAGAACAAGAGAAGGAACAAAAATGAATTTCCATGTCACTCATAACATTTTCATCAATAATTCTGTTTGCTGTTTGTCTGAAATTTGTTTTCCTTCTTTTTGAGACAATAAAAGTTTCTTTTTTTTCTATCCCATCAACAGAATAGAATTGGATTGACATTGAATTTTCTTTCAGATAAAACTCTTTCATAGTCACAAGGTTAAACCTGATCAAGGTCACTTTTGGTCAAAATGTTCAATATTAAGTTCAATTCGGATTGACTCAAATCATTTTAAAAATTGATTTCTCTTTCTCTTCATCATTATGGCGCATCAAACATTTTTATCACCTTTGATTGAAAAGTTAATCTAATTTATGAATATTGTTCAATTTTGGAAGACTCATGATTCGCCTTAAAAGAGTGAAAAAAAGAAAAACTTTAAGTTCGAATTTCAGTTCACGGTTTATAAGTCGAGTGAATTCAAATAACAAATTTATAATAAATGCACATTTAGTCTTCACGTGAACATTGAATTTACTTTTTTCACCTTGAAACATGAATATCAAATCATCGACAGAATAATTTCTTGCATTTCCATGTTATTTTTTTACACCTTCAATCATTCAAATTTCAAATCAACAAATTCGAAACTTGTTCGAAGAGAATATTGAAAAAATGGAAAAGAAAACTTCTCTTTTTGTTTCATGGTTCCTCAGTTATTTATATTTACACCAATTCCTGTCAATACCTTTGATCCGAATGCAATGAGAAGAAAAAACGAAGCTGAAAACATGAATGCGAATTGGTTCATGAATATCTTCATTTACCTTTTCTTTCTAATCTTCTTATCTCATTAACAGGTTGATCCTGAACATCAAGGATAAAACACTCCAAGTCATTGAGATTGTTTCGATGGAAAAAGTGACAAAATAACTCTTTTTTTCGTTCCCTTCAAGTGATTAAAAGATTATCTTTAATAGCTTAAATGAAGTGAAAAACAAAATCAATAAAAAGTCAATTCTGAGTTTTGAAAGATTTCAGCAAAACTTGAATTTCGTTATTGAAATTGAATGACAGAATTTCGAAAAAATTGAATCTTGAAAGGTGAACAAGATGAAGGCAATGATTTAACTCATAAACATCATGTTTATGTTGATGAATTATGGATAAGAAAAAACTTTAAATTCCAAATCGAAATGAATTCCAAGTTATTTTCCAATCTGAATCACTAGAAATTTTCTCTTCTTTTTCATTTTCTTACTCCAAGTCCATTGAACTATCATATTCATTGCTCACGTGATTCAATAGTGAATAAGAAAACGTAAAAGATCATTGAGAATGCAAAGTTGAATATCAACTGTTGATTCAGAAAAGAAAAACAAAATTGAATGAAATGTCGACGGTTGACCCTTTTAAGGAAACAGGAAAATGTTCGATTTCCTCGAAACTCATTAAAATTCGATAAATTTTAATGGATAAATTAATAACAATTTTTAATCTTTTATATTTTCTTTCTTCACGAACTTGACGAAATCGTTATTGAATCTGTAATAGAATTGGTAAAAAAGAGAAAAAATTCTTATCGATTGTTATCTGTATTTTTCTCCATATAAAAAGATATTTGAGATGAGAAGAAAAAGCAAAGGAAAAATTTGATAATCTTTTTTACTCTTTCCAAGTGACTTAATGCCATGAATTTTTGTTATTCAATTTCATATCAATGTTGAATTGTACTTGAAACTAGAAATGTAAAACTTTCATTCATTAAATTTGCAACTTTTCCAAGCTCAAAGTGAAGAAAAAAAAGTTCGATAAATTTTCTGAACTTTGCTTCTTTAGAGAAAAATCGATTTGCAAAAACGGAGAAGAAAAATTAATTTGATAAAATATTTAAATGAAAGTTTAATTTTCATGAAAAGAAAACATGGAACAAGAAAATCCCTTGAAATTGAATTAACAGAATAAAAGAGATTAAAAAGTAAAACAAAGAAAAATGAATCCAATGTTTTTCATGAGAAGCTGTGAGGTTTGTCAATGAATTTTACTTTACACTTTTAACCAACGAGATAATGTGTTTGGATAAGTGAACAAATTGAGGACAAAAAGAAAGAAATTCGACAAAATTGGAAACATTTGAAAACACTCAACTTCTATGGAACGCAATGAGAAAATATTGAATCGAATCAACACCCAACCTGGGAGTGATAACTGGGAGTGAGCATTGAAGATGCAACTGATAATAGATTTGATAATAATCCTTGTGAATCCATTTCAAGTTAGCACATTTACGAGCTTAGAGGCATATTTGTAGAAAAGAAAATGTTTCATGTGAAAAGGAACAAAATTTTGGTTCAACTGTTTGTTCTGAAAATAAAACATCAAGGTTTACTAATCCATCATCATACATGGTTCAAGTGGTGAACTTGAAACTTCTCAACATTCTTTTCTATCTCATGATAATCTCTTTCTAACATTGTTAACAGAACAAGGAGAGAGAGGAAAGAAAACAAGATAATACAATAATGACGTTGGGGTAAAAGGCGAACAAAAAAGAAGAGAGAATTGAACGAAAAGATGGAAAAAGAGATCAAATTTTCATCATGATTCTCTCATTAAGAAGATAACATGATAACTTTACCTTCCCACTTCAATTGTTACCAAAGTAACTTTACTTTTATTGTATTTACGGCGACTGTGTTTGTCCATACTTTCCAGGCGATACTGACGAATCACCGAAATTGGCCATAAAAGGAAACACTCGGAATCACCTTTACGAGCAATGCCGATTCCTCGAGCAAAAACTACTAACTCCAGATTACCTCGAAGTCCAACTCGTTCAGAAGCTTCAGTTGTTTCAAAAAAGATTGAGTAACGTTCCTTTGGACTGCCAATCGTTATAACTTGATATAAAAAGATTGGAAAAGAAACAAAAAGAGAAACAAAAAAACATTATTTTATCTCATTATTGTAGCATTTCCATCCTCAAGTAAACATTGAAATAAATCATGAGAATAATGAGAATCTGAGATCACAAAATTGTCCAAATTCTCGAAGTGATGAGAGGTTGGAAAAGATTATTAGAATAGAATTTTATTCAAGGTTACCTCCAACTATCATGAATGAATATCAAGAATAATGTTTAAAAATGGATTGGAAAGAAAAAGTATTCAATGAAAGAGGTAAACTGAAATGAGATGAAAAATATCATTAATAATCTCAATCTGATAAATCTTTTGGAATTCATTTTCTCTCGATTCCGTGAATTTTACCTTCTCATCCCTGATGTTTTCAGCTTTTCTCTCAAAGAGTCACCGAACTAAATGTAAAAGTAAACTGTAATACATGAACGAGTATTTTCCCTGCTATTGATATTTGTAAATGTAAAGAATCGGGTTAAAATGATTTGATCAAAAGCTTTGCTGTTCAATTCTTTGGAGACAAAATTTGCCTTTCATCTTTTCAAAGCTTCTTAGATTATCTAACATCATTATTTGAGATTTATTTGGATTGTTGGTTTCACTTGGAATTACATTTACAACGAAAAGTTTGTAACATTTTTCTTTGATTAAATTTCCTTCAACTTACAATTGTTTAGACAAAAATCGTCAGATTCATTGTAACCCAATGATGAGATGCAATTGGTTGTTGCAAGGTCTTCGAGGGTTCCATTGGTTAAGCTACTACTATTTTGACTGTTGTTTGAACTGGCATCGCTGTGTGACCCATACTTGGATGATTCTCGAACAAATGCTGGAGCACAGGAGCATCCGGATTCATCTGATTCGGCGGAACCTGAATTGGTTGTTGGTACTGAGGAAGAGCCCATTGGAGTGGGTGACACTTGATGAACCTGTTGATTGGCAATGAAAGTTGAATGGGTATTGTTTGAGGTTGATAAACAGTTGGACGAAGAGACTGAAGATGAAGAGGTTGAACATGTTTTATTGCCAAAGGATTGCCAAGTTAGAGTTGAACTTCCTTTGAGATTTGCATTTTGACATGTAAGATCTAAGGCCAGCATCCATGATCTGAGTGACAAAGAAAAGAGTATCATGTAAACAATTCATTTCAATCAATTGTCAAATATTTGAAACAATTTTTTCCTTCCTTTCCTAATGCTATTGACATCATCAGCAGTTTCGTTAAATGCTTGCATGAATCAACTTTTTTGCTTGTTTTTGAGCAAACAAGAGAAATGAATGGAAAAAAAGAAACAAAGTTACATGAAATGAACAAGTTGTTTGAACTCTATTTTAATAAATATTGTATTTCTTTCAGTTTCAGCATTTTATTAATAAGCTTTCTCTGATATAATACATGAACTGATGATTGCAAATCTTTTCAAAATTATGAGATTTCCATCCAAAGAGTTGCTATGTTGGACTGATTAATTGCTACAGATCTTCATATTCATTAATGATTATCATAAACTCGATTGTCGGTTAATGCCGACTTAGCCTGAATCATTGAAATTATTTCTTTAACAGTTAATCAGTTTTCAATTTTCGTTTCATATTCTATTGATCAATCTTGATGAGAGAATCTTGGAAATCTTTTAATTTATTTTCCATCGAAGGAGTAAAGTTGTAAAGTTAATGGTAAAATGCTTTACTCTTTTCATGCTGCATTTAATATGATATAATTCAATTTGAAAGATTAATGGTTTTGAATTTTCGATCGCTTCAGTAAACCATTTTCAATTGCTATTTTAATCACGGCCAATTTGGTTCAATCTAAAGAGCCAATGAACTAGAGTGATATTTTGATTTTATCAACTTTTACCGAATATCGATTTCAACAAGAATTAAAATCAAAATTAAAACACAGAATATCAATTTCGAGAGTTTGTTTCCTTTAGCAGAAATCATTTTCAGAGAGTTACAATTAAAGAAAATTTCTTTGAGAAAATTCTGGATTCTTCAGAAAAAAGACATTTTTTCATTCTTTTAGACAATTATGAGTGATTCAATCAAACTACAGATTTTTATACGAATTTTGACCCTTTCGAGTGATTCTAAATCTTAAATTTCAAGAACATTCTGTTTCACCTGAAGCACTAATAACTTTGTCTTCGACTATTGACTAGTTTTAAACTTGAAAATTTCCAAATGAGCCATTATCTTTTTACGAAAATCCATTTCCTTCCATTAGCATTCAGAGAAAATTGTTTTTTGCGAAATGACTTGAAAAGATGTTGAAATGTTCTGATGGAAAATTCATTGTCTATTCGTTAGCAACCAGGTAATGTCAAAAATGAGTTTTGTTGAGGAAAGACTACAAGATATCGACCATTTAATGACAACTCTGGAATGTATTTCATCTTCTTTTAATCAATTTTGAAAAACTAATAAACTCGAAGAAAAAGTTTGACACTTTTGTTGAATATTGAATATTGGAAGAGTTTAGTGTAATCAATCTTAAAGTTGCCAGGTTCATTGATTGAAAAGTTGGTTTGACTCGATGAAGCTTTACTTCAAAATTGGCTCCATGAAACCAGATTCATTCTGTTGTTACCCAATATCATGCAAGTATCAAAGAAAAGTTGATAGTAAAGAATCTATCAAGTGTATTTACTACCTTTTTTTCATTTTTACACCAACAATTCATTCATAGAGAATGGATTAGAATGCAAGAGTAGAACAGACTATTATGGTGGGTAAGAAGAAAATCTGGTCTTCTTTCATTCCTTCCTTTACGTAATGTACATTATCGATTCATAGTTATCAATCTCACTGAATCATCAATCTATTTAGAGGCTCATTCGCACAATCTTGTTATAGAAAGTTATACATGAGGAAAAGAGGAAAAAACAGAAAAGAAGAACTTCTCAAGGGCGATTTTTCTATTCACTTCATTCAGAACTAAGCTCTCTCCTTTCAACACCAAAACAGAAGACTAAACAACTGATAGAAATTTTCAAATGAAATATCAAACAAACATTGTATTCTTTCTGTTGATCATTAAACGATTCCTTACGAAAGTCTTATCGAATATTAATTTGCACTTTAAAGTCACTTGTTTGTCAACTTTTTTTCTGCTTTTCTTTGAGGTTAACATCTTTACCTAACCTTTGGAAACCTTTTTTTCCCTCGTCATTTCATGTTGACAGAATTTTTATTTTTCAAAAAGCCAGTGGGTTTCTCTTGTTATTTGACAGTTAATTTAAAAGTTGACTGTTTTCTTGTCAAATATAATCTTATTCAACAATTGGCAAAACAATAGAAGACCGGAAATCGAAATATTCAGGTAAGGTTTTGTATCAATGGAAAAAAACTGTTGAATTCGAAGTAACGAAGGAAAGGAAAGGAAAATTAAGTTGAGATTATTTTCTCATGATTGAACCAACATTTTCTTCCACCATTCAAACAAGTTGAACATTTTCTTCTTTTTCCACCCACAATCGGTTTACAGGGAAAAGATCGATAAAGATGGAGAAAAGCTAATTTGTTGATCAATATTCTGTATTTAATAACTAAAGTAAAATTGATCAGAAATCGTGAAATGTGATAACTAATTTTGTTTAACTGGAACCTTGCATTTCGATTCCCTCATGATTCTGTGTTTTTTTGCTCGTTGAATAATAAAAATGAATTTTTCTTTTTTATGGGCAACTTCAAGATGTAACCAGAGTTTTATTTGATTCCATTCATGGATTTGTTTTCAAACAAATTGATCCCTTCATTATAATGGATAAAAAACCATGATGAAAACCTGGCGAGAGTTTCACAACAAATTAAAAAAAATATCATGAAAGTGACTTATAATAGAATGAAATTGCGAAAGGGAAAAAAGTTAACAAGGAATTAGTTGAGATAAAATTTCATTCTCTTCTGTTTTTTGTGCACTCGAGATTGAAATTCAATGGCGAGTTCATTTGCTTTTGACATAAGTTCGTCACAATGTTAGCAGAGATTCAGCAAAGTTTCATGTAAAAGCGTCCAATTTCAAATCCGAATGATTCGTAAAAGAAAATTTCGTCTTTTACAAAAGTTTAAATTTCGACTTAGTTTTGAAAGTACATTAAATGATAACGAATTGTGAAGATTTTAATATTAAAAATGTATTCTACAGATTCTCGTTTCTCAAGTTTTCTAACGGATCGATATTTCGCTTTCGAGTTTGATTCTTCTGATCGCTTCTGGAAACTTATGATTTTAATTTTCTTCAGTTGAACATCATGTTTTTGACCATAAATTGAAAAATGTAAATGAAAATCAATTTTGTTTCTTCTTTCATTCCTTTTGCCTTAAATAACTTGTCGTATAAATTTCCGAAAATTATTGTAATATTTTTGTTCTTTTCAGTCGATTTATTGGAATTTTGATGCTGAAAAAAGAGTTACAGTTGCGACATTGCAAGTTACTAGAAAAAGGAAAATCAGATAAAAAAAGTTCCAAAAGCATAAACACATTTTCCACTTTTCATTGCCTTAAACTTTATTAGTTTTTTATTCATAAGACATTGAGGCATTTACCCAGTAGCTCTACACTAAACCCATCAGTTGATACAATACATTGTACGAAACTGAATCAAACATGAACATTAAATCAATAAATAAACTGAACAGTAAACTGAAAATCGAAGAGCAAAACTATTTCAAAATATTGTCCAAACACAGAAACAAGAAGAGAGCCAAAAATTGATCGTTGCATTCATTCACCATTACCAGCCAAGAATTACTATAACCATTACTAGTCAAGAAACAAATGTATCAAACTAACAACCAGAATTTGGTTGACAGTTAAATAATTTGTTTCAATTAATTGCTAAAGTAACTTTTAAAGTTGAAATCAAATTATTATTTGATGGATTCGTTGCAAGAATGCAACTGAAAAGACGAAACTCAGGATTAAGAATGTAATTGAGACGAATTTAACTTCGAATGTAAATTTTACTTTTTAATGGGAAAACCTGCTAAATTGAATGCTCATCAAAACCATTAATAGCAAATGAAATAAAGTATCATTATTCCATGCAGCTCGTTATCAGTTTCAAAAGAAGTGAAAGATTTTTGACGAACAAAAAAGTTCCAATAATAGGCAATTTAGCATGCTATTATTGGAATACGTTTATCGAAAATGAAAAGGCAAATTTCTGGTTCCTTTAGTTTCAATAACAAGATAGTCCAACTGTTGAAAATTGGAGAAAAGGTGACATGGAATTTTCTTAGCAACTTTTTTATTCATTATTCTGTAACCTTCATGGTTGACTGAGAACAAAATTTTTTTTCTCTCTTTGATTTAATTCATTCCTTCTAATAATATCTAGTCTGATGCTAAGCTCTAGTAGTTTGCTTCCATGTTGATTGAGCTTGTTTTGTCTTTGACATTTCATCAGTTCTTCTTATTCTGACATTGAATGTTTTCATGATCGTCTCAACGATTCCAATGTAACTTGATCATTAGCGTTCAACAAAATATCATAATAACATTAATCTGGTTTGTAAATAATAATAAAAGGAAAATGGAAAATGATTATTTGCAAAAAGTGTTGAACAATTGGCAACATTGAAAGAAAATAACATTAAATCATGACCAAGTTCTGTCTGAGTTCGCCCTGAAATTATTAATTGTAAATGAATTAATCTCAAGAGTCAATTGAAAAGATTCATTTATTTATTTTTGCCTCTTCATGTCGACCTTGCAATTTGATATAAGTGTTTATTCAGAACTATTTGTTGATATTTGAAAAGACAATTTTGCTTCTGAACGAGAATAATTTTTGTATAAAAAACTTGCAGAAACAATGTTGGAAGAAAACTTGAAAACAGGAAAAACTAACCATTACTGACCTAATTCAATTGAATGGGAATTCATCTTCTCCAGGTTTCTTGATGGAAGAAAAAGAAATTTCATGGGAAACTGAAGAATTGCTCTTTTAATTCCAACATCGAAAATGGCGATGAAAAGAGTAAAAATTTTACTTTAAAGGTAAACAAGTTTTCCTCTCTTTCATCTTCTTTTCATTCCCTTGCACCATGAATGATGAAAGATAATAAATACTTGTTACTTTCACGATAAAATATTGA